GGGGAGGGGGTCCCCTCCCCCAGCGACCCCTCAACACCCCCCTCCTTCGGTGTGTGGGTCCCCACCCCCCTATGCCCTCCCCTTTTTGGGGTCCTACTGCCCCAAAACTCTCCTTTTGGGTAAGGTCCCCCTAAGTGCCCCCCCGTTTGGGGTGGGGGGCCACCCCATCCTTACTGTGATGTGGGGAGTCTCCCCCTTCCCTATTTCTGATCCGATAGTTGGGGGGGGGGTCCTCTCTGGAGCCCTCCATCCCTCTTGTGGTCATGTGGGATCCACCCTGTTTCCTTGCCCCACCACTGTTGTGGCGACCCCCTCCACGTTCCCCCCGTTATGGTGGGACCCTCCCCTTCTCCCCCACCTTTGTAGGACCTCCGCCAGCCCCCCAGCTCAGCACCCCAGGGCTCACAGTGCGGGCTGCCTGCTCCCTGGCCTGCGCTTGCCTGCTGGGCCGTTTCCCCTCCTGGAGGGTATCCTCAGTCCTCCTGGTCTGTCCTGTTGGGAGCCCTTGGGATGGGGATCTTTGTGCATCCCCCCAGCGCTGACCTGTGGCTCTCCGTGTTGTGCCCTCAAGGAAATCCAGTGCTTCTGTATTTATCTCCTGCAGCAGCCCTGTCTCATGCAAGCACCACTTTTGTTCGCTGTCGGGTGGCCCCTGGAGCGTCAAGGATTGGCCTTGCTGCTGTCTGCCCGCTGTGGGTCTCGCAGGGTGTATCATAACCGGTGTGACTGTATCCGCGGGGGGTGTGTGCAGGGGCAGAGTAGCGAGTGTCTCTCTGCCTAATGGGATGTGCCAGTTGGTGCTTGAGTGATCCTGGTTGTGCTTGTACAAATGCCAAGGCAGCAAGCTGGGTGGCAAGAGATCATGATGGAGGTAGGCTCTGCACCTGGGTTTGGGCCGAGGCAAGGGGCTTGTGGGGGTGGGGAGGGCTGTAGGAGGATGTGGGTGAGAATGGGAAGAGATTAGGGGAATGTGGTATTTGGACTGTGGGATGCTGGGTGTGGTTGTCTAGCTTCACGTGATCTTTTGGATCCTGGGCTGGCTCCGTGGGCCGTGTGGATGAGGGTGAGTGCTGGCTCTTTAGTAGTAGTTGTAACAATACAGAAAAGTGTTTGGGCGCTGCATTTTTGGGTGTTCTAGTTGCTAGGTTTTTACCAACCACCTCACTTGTAGAGCGGCAGTCGTTCTGGAGAAAGAAATATATACTCCAAACAAAACATCCCAGTAGCACTCATCTTGGTGACTGATATTTTACCAAACTGTGAGTGTAGGGGAAAATATCCAGATATGGGAACAGAGACCCTTTGTACAACCTGCTTCTGTTTTCCTTACCATTGACCTCAAAAAGCATCTTGTCGTGCCTGCAGAGAGCCCGCCTTGCTGTCCCATAGCCTTCCCTTCAAGCAGTGCTCTGTGTTCAGGCTACACCACAACCTGTTCCCATTGACAGCAGGTTTTTGATGCTAATGTTTAAATGAGAAAGAAGTAGCTTTGCTGAATTTACTTCCAAGCTTCATAGAGGAAGAGGCAGCTTCTTAAATGAGCTGTCTCTAATGCTTCCTGTTAGCTGGCGTTTTATATGGTACTGAACCACATGCATGTGTTTATTGTGTATCAGCTAATTTGCTAACTCTTCCTACAGGATGATTTTCTGGAGTACCTGCTTGTTGCTCTAACTTGCGTGGATCTCCGTTCATTGCCATTGCCCCAAGTGGCTCCATTTCTTACAACGGAGACAGGAATCGGGCCATTTTGTATGTTAAGATTTGTTGTTTGTATCTTTGGATTTAATGGACTCAGTCTATGACTATTGGAGAAACTGAAAGGTGTGAAACTTGCCTGGATGGGAAGTCTCTCATTCTGGGTACGGTAATGCATGGTTTGTGCTGGAGTGAATCGCTTGTGCACGTTGAAACCTTTGACTTTGCTTTGATCTGGCTTTCTCAGCTTCTGTCCTGCAGGGTGGCACTGGCAGCTGGATTGCTTCTTGTAATGAGTTGGGATCAGCCTCCCTGCATAGGGAAGAAGGGATCTGAGGACAGAGTCTGTCAGCGCAGGCTGCTTCCCATCTCTGCAATTATAGGCTCTGTAGGTCTTGTACTGCAAATGGGCCTGGAGTGGGTAGTATTTTAAATGAGCTGTTAAACGTGAACACTGGAAGGCCTTGTTTGATAGAAGGGGGATGGGAGCAAACTGCAGGCTGAGTGGAGACTGACGTGCTCTAGGTTGTGATCTGCTGAGGGTGCTACTGAAGGCAGGCTTTGCTAGTGCTTTTATCCCTGCTGCTTGTTTCTGACACTAACGTCTTTTAAATATGTCCAGGTTGCCTAGTCAGACATTGTTTGGGTCTGGGTTCTTGGATGCAGATCTGGTGCATGGAAACTTCATGAGTGAGTTTCAGGTGACCAGCTCCTTAGCTTCATTGCTTGATGGCTTTGCTGCTGGTATCGGTTCTTGTCCTGAGCGGAGTGGTGCATCAAAAGCAGTAAACTAGGAAACAGGTACTTTAAGTTTCACGCTGCAGAAAGAAGATGCCTGTAGCTCTGGCTCTGGGCAATGGTTTTGAACTTTAGGTGAGTGATTGTGCAGTTCTTGCGCCTCTGCTAAACTGTTTTTTGCGAATCATTAATCTGGGCCCCCAAAGTACTGAGTCTGGTAGTAGGATTATTCCTACAAAGCAAGTGTGCTGAAGGGACAGTTGTAAGTCAAGATGTATCTTTCAGGTGTTACAAACATTAAGCTTTCGAGATAAGAATAATGAGCTAGTGCAACAGTTGTGCCATCTGCCAGCACAGATCTGTAGCACTCCCATGTTTTTCTCTTTCACTTATTCCAAGATCTTGGGTGCCTCCAGGATTAAAGGATGTATTCTTTCAGTCTGAAACTGCAATCCCAGGAGTTGTTGATTTCCTTGCTGATGTTTTAGGGAAGGTTTGTTGAGTTCTTTGTCCTTCGAATTCAGCTTTCTAAATTTGTGCCCAGCCTGTTATATTTCTTTACTAAAAGCAGAGGCACTTTCACTGTCAAATTTTCTTCTCTGCAGGATGGTGCAATGGATTTACTGAAAGAACTAAAAAGTATGCCTATGACTCTGGACTTGCTGCAGGTGAGTTGCACGCTGAAAACTGCACCTGGATGAACCAAAAATGTTGCTTAAATGAACTTAATGGGTTCCCTCTGACTTCTTGCCTCACTCAGAGCATCAAAATAAACATTGCATCTAAAAAATAGTACTGAACTGTGGCTTTGAACTCGCAATTAATTGGCTTTGGTGCCTTGGTAACTTTGTGCGCTCCTGGTGTGGCAAGCCTGAGTAACTACTCAAATCCTTTCCTGGATTTAAAAAAGAGGGAAGAGCAAATTGAAGTAGCAAACATAAAGAGCCATCATGGGTGTGGTTGTTTAAGTCTTTGTAGTGGTGATATTCAGGGTGCCCTCTATGGGGAGGTGTGAATAGCATAACAACTCAAGAGATTATGATATGCATCTTGTATTTTTTTCCAAGATAAGCTTTAGTTGTCACTTAGAGGCGTGTAGGAGAGGTATTTGTGGGTGATTGGAAGTCAAACTCGTATGATCAGTTTGAGTAAGCCGAAGACTGTCGTCTAGTCCTTCCAAAGTTGGAAAGAGAGAGTCGTTCTGCAAGTCCCTGGATAGTGTACATCTTGGTCATTGCTTTGGCTTTGTGCTTATTTCTGGTTTTGGTTAGTAACAAATAACTAGTTTGCTCCTGAATGATTCACTCGAACGTTCATTTGCAGTCCACCCGCATTGGGATGTCAGTAAATGCACTGAGAAAGCAGAGCACAGATGAAGAAGTGATATCACTTGCCAAATCACTCATCAAGTCTTGGAAGAAACTTCTAGGTAAGAAAGTAAGCATGTTCCTGTCAGAGTCAACTTGCAAAGTAGCTGACTTCAGCTAGAGGCTGGGTTTCTCAAGAAAACTTATCTATTGATCTAGGTAGAATATTTTAGCAGCTCAGCTTTTCAGATTGCACCCTCTGTCTTCAGAGTTCCATGTCCTGCCTTGCATTCTTCTGGATTTAGTTCCTGTTGTCAAACTAACATCCAGCTTTTTCCTGGGAAGTGGACTGAAAGCTTCAGGACTGTTCTGAACATGTACCTGATCATATAATTAGCAATGTTAGCTGCAGAAATAATATCTGAGCCCTCCACCCTGGTTGTGTGTGCTGTACTGCATTAAAACAGCGTGTGCTGTCAGTCTGGTGTAACAGCTTGGAAAGAAATGCTGGAATGCATTTTAGATGATGACCTTATTTTAACACCTTTGTAGGCAAAATTACGCTGACTTTTTCCTGCTGGGTAGGCTTTTATGGTGATGGACACTGATAAGCAGAAGCTTGTAATTCTGTTTGAAAAATCTTAATGCTGATATGACACGCACTAACTAACCTCAAAATTACGGATAGAGCTTACAAATATGGTGTTCAGTGGTTACATTTGTGTGGTTAAAAAAATGAATCATTGGCAGTGCTGAGATTGGAAGGGCAGCTCTACCTGTGTCCTGCTAACAGGGCAAATAGCGTGTCTCTCGGTCTATGCTGCTGGCAAAGTACCCCAACATGACGTTCAAGCATTCTTTATTTTTAAACTGATAGCTCGGGTTGCTCTGTGTAAACGAAAGAATAAGAAGTGAATTCAAGTGAAGTGAGCAGCTGGCTCTAATCTGCACCTCGGGATGCCCCATTTCTTGACAGGCTAAATGAGTGCTAGAAGTGCTGTTTTCCTGTCCTGCCTGGGGCTGGCATTTCCATGTTGCAGTTGATGCGTATTGGCTAGGCCGGGACAGTTTACCTCTTGGGTTGATCTTTTTTCTGTAGTAAAATGAAACTTCTCTCCAGGATTGTGCTACTGGCTTTCAGCAGCACTTGGGAAACATGAGAAATTGTATTCCCAGAAGGGCTAGCCCTTACTGGCCCCTAAAATGTCATTGGCATGAAATACTGCTTTTAAAGTGGTGCTTTGGAGAACTTGATCTAATCTGTACTCTGCAGCTAGGGTCTCTCACAAATAAACCTTTGTGATGAGGCATGTCTTGTGAGGAAGCTTATCTCTTACGGAGGAAAGGTGATTGCTCTCTGCTTTCTGGCTAGGGTGGGTGAAACTTGTTTGAACTCCTTTCTACTCAGAGGCAAGTGAAAGGTCTGAAAGTGTGGAAGGCCCGAAATGCCTTCTTTCTCCTGATTCTTTTCTGAGAATAACAACTTGCCTTAGGCCAACTCTGTTCAGTCGCTTGAAGACGCTGTTTAGTATGTACAAGGTTTTGTAAAGTCCAGTTCTGAACCCTTTAGCATCCAAGTTTGCTTTTTCTCTTTCCTTTTGAATATAGATGCTTCTGAGGAGAAAAGTGAGGAGAAAAAGAAAAACCTGTCCTTGCCAACATCTTCCTCAAAGGAGACTAACTCAAGAGACCAAAGGTAATGCTTCCCTTTAGCCAAAGATGATACTGTTACATAATTTGAATTTTCTCATGGCACCTTGTGATAATTTTTAATTTTAAGTGTCTGAGCTGGGAATTTGGCATACTCAAATGCCTGGTCAGATACACCAAGAGTCTAGATTTCTTCAGTGACCATCTGTGTGGTGTTTTTAATAAAGAAAAACTGAACTGTAATGCAGAAATAAACATCTACAAAACACAGTGGCTTTAGTGAGTTTTTTGCTTTTATTCATGACTTGTTTCATGTTTTTCCATTCTTGATTTTGTGGTGTTGTTTTTTTATTAATAAAACATTCCTCTGGATATTTTGTGTTGCATTTTTATATTTTTGCTTATTTCTGACTTTGAACTCCTTTAGAATGAAGATTATTTTTGGCTTTTGCAGTCTCACCTGGTGGATGGGAGTGATATTCATGCATCACTGTAGTAAAACTTCCATTTCTTTGTCCTCTTCTCAGCAAGTCCCAGCAGAAGTCCTCTTTTCACTCTGGACTGATGTCCATCAATCTAGCAGGTCTGCCGCATGCTTGCCCCTTGTCATGCATTGAATGTTGCATCCTGTTTCCACTTTCTGCAGCTACACTTGCTAAGCCGTGGAGTGGACGCAGTGTTGGTTTTTTTTGTTTTTTTTGTTTTTTATAAGGGGAGGGGGCAAATGCAAGTTTAAAAAGCTTTGTCCTAGACCCTTTCCAGAGGTGAGCCTGTTCTCTCAGCCTCCAGTCCTAGGAGACTGTATTTCATAGGTTTGACAGTTTCTGAAATTTGCCAGAAGATTTGGAATCTGAATACTATATTCCCTCTGGTTTGTAGACTCTCTGTCCCTGTTAGTCACCTCTTTTGTCATGCTCCCCATTTTCTTGTGTTTGCTTGGGCCTGTCTCAAGCCTTGACGCTTTGGTGTGAGTCTTCTAACCCCTTGCAGCTCTGCAGAGGGCTGGTGATGGAGAAAGCTGCTTTTGCTGAGCTAGAGAACTTCAGTTTGTTGCTTGCATCTTTGTCTAGCTCATCTTGCGTAGAATGTAAAAAATACAATTGCAACTAAGCATTGCAATGAATGTGTTAAGACCTCACAGCCAGAAGAATTCAGCTTTGTAGTAATGCAGCACAACCCTGGAGCTAGGGCAGTCCAGTTTGGTGAGTGTATGTGACACACAGTGGCAGTCTGGTGTGTGACAGTCGTACTGGGGTTAGAGCAGTAGGATGGAGTCTCCTGGCTGCTGTTTCCTTTTGTCTTGTTGAAGAGACAAGGATCTGAGGCTGAAGAGCAGTCAATGATAGCTGAGAAGGGTTTGCTTATGAGCTGAGAGAATGACTTGAGTGCTATCACCTGGCTTGTGGTGCTAATACCTTCTCTGTATGACTGGTATCTGATCCTTACAGTCTAAAATGCAGGCTAGTGCTGCCTTCCTGAGGGTGTGAACACAGGAAGGAGCTGCTGTAGGACTGATGAGGGTAGAACTGAGCCAGTGATGGGGGTACGAGCCTTTGTGCATGCCCTTACTGGTAAAGGGGAGGCAGCTTTCCCTGCAGGGTAAGGGCAGAAACCTGAGCGGAAGCATTTGTCTGCTGTTCCTGATGGGAAAAGGAGAAGGCAATTTCCTTCTGAAGCTCACACGAAAAGAGGAATATGTTGCCTTGCACTTACTGACCGCTCTCACCGGTAGTAAATAAATGCCCCCGAGTTCATGCTGAGTTTACCTTAAAGCAGTTTGTACGTCCGTGCCAATGATTCATGCGTGGTTGTAAAGGAAGGGGTAAGTATTACGAATGTGGCTGATACTGCTCCAGCCAGGAAGTAGTATTGCAGTTCAAGGAAAAGGGGAAGCCTCTGATTTAGCCTTGGGAAGATGTACCTCAGGGAATGCTAAGCCTAGAGGGAAGGAAGTGTGATACATATCCCTGTGTGCAGTGGTGGTAGACAGTCATGAGCAAAACTAGCTGTTTTTGCTTGGACACCTGGTTTGATAGCTAAGGCTTGTAGTAATTTCACTCAAAATAGCACGCCGGCCATAGTGGGAGGTTGCCTCTACACCTATTTCCCTGCTGTAGCAGACAGTTATCGTGGGGTATGCGTAGTGGAGCTTTCTGGCCTGTGCAGCTAACCTCCTCTGTGCCTTGAGGATACACTGCAGTTACTGTTTCCCCCTCACCTTGATGCTTTCTACATGTATTCAGCCTCCATCATCTTCTAAATGGCCAAATGTCCCCTTGGTTTTCTAGGAGAAACAGAAGCAAAAGGGATTAGTTTAGCACAGATCCAGAGGAGGAGGCTAGCTCCTGGTGTCAGTCTGTTGAACCAGGCTCCCTGTACAAAGACAAGACTGCTTGTTCCCTAGTGGTGCAAAATAAGCTACTAATCTGTCTTGACAAAAAAATAATTTCTTAGCAGCAAAGAGTCTTTGGCTTTGCTCTCTAAAGCGCAGGCTGTGATGAAGGGAGTCTGGTTCATTGCTTGGTGCCTGATTGCTGGTTCAGCTGAGGCTGCTATCAAGACCCAAAAGAGATCAGTTTGTATTCAGATATTTCAGCCTCTTAGTCTGATAGATTTTGGCTGGGGCTTCCTCTTCTGTCAGGGAGAAATATTTGAACAGCTCTTGGCCTGAAACTTGTCTTGCTCTCTGGAGCCCAGATGGAGAAATCCTTGCGTAGTGACTAGGGAGCTAGCGCTGCTAGACCTGAACGCCTCTCGCCAGCCAGTGTAGGGCTGGCACCTGTAAAGTTACGTACTGTGTACTGTAATCCAAAGCATATTCTGTTGTGCTGTAGTGTTTTAGACCATTAGCACAGTACATGACAATGGGCTGTGTCTAATGTTTCTTTCTTTCTCTCTCTCTCTCTCTCTGGCAGTGTGAGCTCTCTCTTTTCCAGGAGTCTCTTAAGCCTTTATTAAGAATTTTTGGATTTGTGGCCTGAATTCAGCTCTTTGGCCAGTTTCTCTTCCAGTGCAGCCCTGAGTTCTGCTTGTGGTCCCTGGCTGTTGCTTTGCCACCATTTTGTTTTCGCTTTTTGTTTTTTATTTTTTTAATGTATAAGCTTTTGTTGTCCGGATAGATTTACAAGCTCCTTCTCCTGTTTAGCAGGAACAGCGTAAACCACAAGGATTTCCTGAAATAAGTCTTCTAGGTGTGTTTGAGGTCTATTTTCCAACTATTCTAATTATAAGCTTCTAAAGCCTAATAAATAACTTTCTATGTGGTCTTTGGAGTGGCTGAAGTCTGTTTCATTTAATTCATGAGTGATCAGTTGTCACCTCAGTGTCTGATAGGGCTCAAACGGGAGGTGTGAGGAGCTGATTTAACTCGCCTGCAGTTTAATGCTCCAGTCCTCTTTTATTCTGCTTTGACTCACCAGTCAGGCAGCTGTTTTACACTGTTTGGGGGCTACCTTGAGCAGTTAGATTCCTGGAGTAGGCTCCGGGGACTTCTCTTTAGAAGTAGGCAAGAAAGAGCTTTCCTGTCCAGTGAAAATTTGAGATTTCAAAGCGTTTCCTGTCTTGTGGCTGGACGAAGCCAGGCACGTCAGAGTATTTTTAGTTATTCTGAAACGGCCACTGGCTTAGTGATGATGAGGACGCTCAGGTGGGACAGGGACTTCTGAGTTCAAATCCCTACTGTACCTTATTCAGATCTGTAGCTTTAATTTCTTCCATTCTGTGGGAGTGTTTGAGCTGCCGGGCTGCTGCCTCTTCTGGGGTGAATCTTGCTCACTCACTTCTAAACTTGCATCTGTGCTGCTGGGAGAAGGGCTTTGAACTTTTGCCTCACCAAGCCTCTCCAAGCAGAAGTTCCTCAGTTTTCTTCAGGCTATTTAACGATGCTGATCTGAGGCCCTGTGTGTGCAGGTGAATATTTCTTTACTCATCACCCAATAGAAATGGGATATCTACCTCTCTTATCTAGGTGTTTTTTCCTGCTTCCAGGGCATAAATATCCAAATATCCGAGTCAATTGCACTTGCGGATAGAACCTTTGTGAAAATCAAATATTACCTGTGTAAATATTAGTTTAAAAGCCTGGCTTTAAGTATGGATGCTTGATATCCTGGCTTTATTTCCTGCACGTTAAGGTGCTCGTCAACTTAGTGGTTTTTTTTACATTAACTGTCACAAATAAGATGTGAAGGTCACTGATGGGAGTTTACATGTAGTGTCTTGCTCTGAGAGGCCTTTGTGTTACTGCTGCTAGCAAAACGCGACAAAGGAGTTAGGAAGTTAGAAGAGCTCTCTGAAGGCATCATCTGCCATCCCTTTCCTAGGACATCATGGACTCTGTCCAAGCTGTTCCTGACGGGTCTTTCTCTAAGCTGCTCTTTAACAACCCTAAACACCTCAGGGTAAGACATTTCTGTAGCTGCCCTTGCCGATCTCTTCCAATTCATAACGCTCCTTTACAATTTGAAACCTATTCCCAACCAAAATCTATCTAAGATGGTTTAAGATCTTGGAAGGACTCCAGAGCCAGACTGAATATGAACTTTACAGTAGCAAGGTGTCCCAGGATCAGTCCCCGAGATTGTCTGGCTCAGTTCATACAGCAGCAGCTTCACTAGGCTTCCAGGGTAACGTTGGTCTTCTGTGGGCTAACTAGTCTCCTCCCGGACAGTATAGTGGTAGTTCCTAGTCATGAGAGTTTTATTTTCCATGGCAATAAAAACTGGCAGTAGCGTCCTAGCTTGATGGTAATTGTCAAGTCACTTGGATCTTCAAAAAGATGTTTCCAGTATGGCGTGGGTGAAATCATGGGTTTCTCTGTTTTTCTCTTCTTTATCTATTATTGCATTAACGTTATTTAGACCCTGGCAATAAATGCTGTGCGTTTTATGGCCCAAACACCAAAGACAGAGCAACCTCTCCTGAAAAGTTTGCTGTTTTGCTGCCTAGAGTTAAGAGCTCTATAAAATCATCTGGGAATCATAATAGGCCAAATTTTTCATCTGCAGTGTTTGTGAGGCTAACTGACTCTCTGCGCAGATGTTAGGCTTTATGGGCAAAATGTCTCAGCGCTGTAGGTGTACCCCGAGCTGAACTGCTCTGTGAAGTTACTCCTCTGGCATGCAAATCTCACAGTGGTGCAAGCGAGCTGAGCCCGTGCAGTGCTTCAGCTTGCCTGCATCGTGCAGTAATTGTGCATGCAGGTCTGGGCTGTGATTATGTGCCTTTTGTCTCAGGCTGGCTTCCCCTGGCAAATGACCTGACTGACGCACAGTCACAACAGGCAGATGTTTGTGTTCCCTTGCCTCTGTCACAATTGCTTGCAGGTGGAAAATGAAGTTCTTTTTGCAAGTGAAGCACTATTCATTTGTCCTCTGTCAGCCTGGCACCTGTGTGAACTGAGTGTGGTCATGCAGGGGTGCTCTTCTGTGAGATGAGTAATCAAAAGTCTTGACCAGAGCTGTAGGAAAAATTGAAGAACCTCTGATGTGTTATGCTGTGTTTATTTAAAATACCAGAGCTGGAAGAGACATTTTCTTTCCTTTTCTTAGCACAGAAGCTGCAGGGCTAGCTCTTTACAGCTCCTTATTCTGAAGGGGTTCACGCAGCATTCTGATTTCTGCCCCAGCAGGCAGCTTGCTGCCCTCCTTGTCAGCTATAGAAAGCTGGAGTGCTTTTTTGTTTAACTGTTCTCCTTCCCTGCTGCTGACACCTCATTAGTAAAGGACATGAGACGAGGAACCAGCTCAACACCTGCTGAGATTAACCTTAGTGGTGGCTTCTGCTCCCTCTCTTCTGAGAGCAGTTAAGGACAGAGAATGTATTTATCGTGTCTTGCGGGACTCAGTGTCCTGCGAAGCAGGAGAGAAATGAAGAACCATGCATCTGCGTGCTATGATACCAGACCAAGTGAGTGTTGGTGATCACAGGAAGTCCTGAGCCTGTCTGAGTTACTGACAATGTCCAGTGGCTTGATAATATTTTTGGTCGATGTCCAATGGTCTAGTAGTTGTACTGTGTTTAGCAGGCCTGCTTAATGGGTTAAAACATCAGAGTCCACAGGAGATCTTGTATCTGGATTGATGATGCTAAGTGCTGTATTGAGCTATATGCTGATTTGGGGCATGTATCTTTGCACTGTTTTCCTCTGACTGGTTTTGTATTATAATTAACAGGGTGCTTGGCCACATACCTGCTGATCCCTTCACTGCTCTCAGTAACCTGAACTGAGACATTCTGACAGGTGAAGTTTCTCTTTTAGCTCCAACAAAAGGCAGGAGCCTCCGAAGACTCCGACCACCCCCAAAATCACCACCTTCCCTCCAGCACCCGTCACCTGCGATGCTGTCCGCAACAAATGCAGAGAAATGTTGACAACTGCTCTACAGGCCGATGGTAAGTAATGGAGGAAACCTTGTGTCATCTAATGTGCTTCACAGCTCCTGGTGCATCCTAACAGAGATCTCTGCATGTAAGTCAGTGCCAAATTAGGTTCCTCTGGAGCAGCCTCATCAAAGGATTATTGCCATCCAGCTCAGTCCAGCTACTGGTCACCTCTTTGTTAGATTTGTTGTCATTGCAGCGTTTACAGACACTTGCGTATGAACCTGACTTGAGCTAGGTCCAGGCAATGTGTCAGGCTACGGCTGTTAGGAGCTGTATGTGCAAACAGCAGTGCTCTGCTCTGTTAGCTAAGCCAAGAGATTAGGTGGAGTTGCCTTTTCAGTACGAAGCAGGGGTCATAAATCAGAAGTTTGATCTCCAGGTGTGCAGGTATTTCCTTCCCTTCTAGGTCTCAGTCTTGTCTGATTGCTGTATAGTGAAGCTGACATCTCTACTTCCCCTTGGGGCACAGCATGAAGCAGTAACTCCATATATGGGATTTGTCAGTAATAGGCTTTATGCCAGTCACGTTCTGCACTTAGGACTCCTCTGTCCATGCAGACCGGAGGCCCTCAAAGACTGTGGTCCCCTGTGGCTGGGGCTGGGATTCGTCTCTCTTCACTCAGGGTGTGCCATCTGACATCACAGGCAACCGCAGGTGCTCAGCATCTCTGCAAGTCAGATCTTAAGTATCTCAAAATACCGCACATGCTTGTATCCAAACTGCAGGTCCCTTTGGAAAATTGGGGCCTGCCTAAGCACTGCAGAGCTGTATTAATTTGGAGACAAGGAATGTAGACGGCAGATGGAGAGGTTCACAAAGTCATCACTTCTAGCCTACCTGTGTTTGTGTAGATTTATGTTGTGTTAGATACTTTGTGTAACTCTTAGCAGAACCCTTGCTATATAGAGCCTGCGAAATAGTCTCCTCAGCTCTGTTGCTCTGCTTAGCTCAGCCCTGCTCTGCTCTGCTCTACCTTCCCCTGCTTTATGATATGGGTTAACATAACCAGTGTCCCAACTCCTACAGTTACTGCACTCTGTATCATGCCGCTTAATTGACAAGAAGAGGTGTGTGAAAGAAGAGGTAAGGCCAGATGGAGGCACTGAGCTGAGAAGAGAAATGAAGGCTCGACGCCAGGGCTTCGTATTTTTAGGCCCTATGAGTCTGTTGATCTGAGTGAACCTACTTCTCATGGACACCAGTGTCCACTGCGAATCAATTCCTGGCTGTGTATGCTTGACTTCAACTATACCAGGACTACACTGGATATTGGAAAACTGTATTTATTGGGGGCCAGGTTCTTGTTGGTTTTGGTTCAGTGCAGTCTACCTAGTAGAGAGGCAGAGGGCATAAATTGGCTGGATTTGCCTATTTTGATCACTGCAAAGGAGTCAAAGGATACCTAGAGCAAAGACGAAGATGACATTTTTTGAGAGGTGCAGGTAAATCACAATAACAAACTCTCGAGATTTGTATCTCAGAAATATGGTTGCCTGGTTGGAAGTAATTGACGTCATGTTCCTCTTGTCTTACAGATGACTATGTTGCCATTGGCGCTGACTGTGAGCACATAGCAGCTCAGATCGAAGAATATATCCTTATGTATAGGGCTTTCTCAGGGGCCTGCATGAGTGGAGCCCCCAGACCATGAAATTAATGAGCTCAAAGGAAAAACGGGACAATCTGCTTTGTATGAATGTTGTGGTGCAACTCTGCTTGTCAGGGCTCTGAGTCGGGTTCCAGCGCTGCTTGGCTGAATACTGAATCACTAAGGAAACACCAGTGTGGTATTGGGAGCTCAGAGCTGACCCCCTGCTGGTGTGATTGACACAGTTATTTCCTTCCTGTTCGCACCATAATGGACTTTCAGGCCCCAATTTCTCCATCCTGCCAAAATGCTATTTCCGGCTCCCAGCTCTGCTTCCAGATACATGCAACTTCCCTGTGCCTCCCTACTGAGGAGAGCGTGCTGACATGGGGCAAAAGCGATGGGGAAGATGGAGCAGTGAGGATCAAGTTGCACGTAGATTTGAGATAAGCTCCGAGATTGCTTGGTATGGGGGCTATGGGGTAGGAGGGGCAGCTGGATTCTGTTAGTGGAGGGTTATGTGGCTTCCTTGCTGAGAAAAAGACCGTGTAGAAGAACCCGAGCAGAACTGAGAGTAAAGATTGTTTCCAGCACAGGGAAAAGGCCAGAAGGATTGAAAGCCCCTGGACTCTGGGATTGCGTAGACCTATTCTCAAATTCAGTGTTAACCTCCCAGAACAGACAATGTCTTTGGATCCTGGTACCTTCCTCCGTGTGCTGGCAGCAGTAACGTTCCCTGCTGTTTGTGAATGGTGTCGAAAGTGCTTGGAGTTCTCTGGGTTGATTGCAGGCTCCTTGACTGCCATGTACGCATATACCAAGATATCAAGAACACTGACATGAAGTACAAAAACCGAGTGAGGAGCCGCATCTCGAATCTGAAGGACTCTAAAAACCCTGAGCTGAAAAAGAACGTGCTGTGTGGGGCAATTACCCCTGAGCAGATCGCAGTGATGACCTCAGAGGTGAGGAGGCCAGAGCAGGGTTCATTTCTTACAGGGGCTGTGTCATATGGATTAGCTTGAAGCAAGAAGTAGATATGCTGACAGGGCTGCACATCTCTTGAGGTGCAGCTCAGCGGCTGCTGCTGGAGTGCACGGGGAGGGAGCTAGCAATGGGATTTTCAATGTGGAGAGTAGTCTTTTGGGACTTTAGATCATGAAAGGGGGCTAGATATCAAGCAGTACCAGAAACGAAAGGCTTTCTGGGTTAATGCCTATCCGTTAAGCCATCCTGCCCTGTTGTTTCTTTCCCCTGCGGTGGGTGTGGTGGTAAAGCTGGACAGATGTGATTTTATTGCTTTTTTGAAAGGAGATGGCCAGTAATGAGCTGAAAGAAATCAGGAAAGCCATGACGAAAGAAGCAATCCGGGAGCATCAGATGGCCAAGACGGGAGGGACGCAGACTGACCTCTTCACCTGTGGGAAATGCAAGAAGAAGAACTGCACCTACACCCAGGTTTGTCTTCTGGCTCCTACTGCCCCCACACCACTGACCTCTGCACAGGACATGATCTGTCATGGTCCTGAGCTGCGCTACTCTGTGTCAGGCCCTGCAGCATGGGACAAATTTTGCCACTGATGGAGAGAAGCTTTTTGCACACTCGGGCTTTCTAAAGCGTAGAAAGCACACATCTCTCCCTTGAAGCTTACATAAACTGTTTTGCCTGTTTGTGCAAATGCTGACTTGCATCTGGAAGAGCAGGGGTTATGCAGCATCAGTCAGCGAGGAAGCTTTCGGGAATTGATATATGGTGGTGCTGTTTGCTGAGCAGCTTGAGAGAGCTTCACACTGAAAGCAGGTGCTGGGAAGATCATAGAGAAGTGTGGAGATTCAGGAAAGAGAGAGGAGTGGGTAGTACAGAGAAGAGAGACTGCAGGGACCAAGGCAGGCACGTTGATGGTATTAAAAGTGCAAATTAAGAATATAGGCAAGCTGCAGCTGGACAAATCCTGACTTATTTAAAATCAAACAACATATTATATACACATTATAACACTATAATAAAGAATAAACAAAGCCACAGTGTGAGCAGGCAGAGGGGACTTGTTCTCCTTGATGGACAGTGGCTAGAAACCTCATGCATTGCCAGTGCTTTTTGATTCCCATGTCCACTGCAGGCATCTGGAGATAAATGTGCGTTTGCTGTGAGTCAGATTTTTAGAATGTGCAGATACCCAGAAATGCACCAGCAACCACGCGTTTGCTCTGCTGCATTTGCTGAGTGGGTACACACAAACTGTGCATGCAAGTGCTGAGTGAAATCCCTTAACGTGCTTGGTTGTGATGTGCAAGCACAGATGTGAGCCAGGCAGCTGACCAGGGATTTTCCTTTGGCTGAACAGCACTCTTGCATCCCAAAGGCTGGCTCAGGCAAAAGGCCTCGCTCGCTCTGAGGGCACATCCCACTGAGCCAGCTAGAAGTACCGACTGAACTGTCTGTCTCGGTTGCTTCAGCAGCGTGTGGGACTCTAGCTTCACTTGAAGTGGACTGGAGTCTGACTGCCTAGTATTGGAGCAGGTCAGGACAGGATCTTCTAAATGTAATTATCAAAAGGTTTTCTGTATTTTTATTAATTTTCCAGTGAAAAGACAATCACCACATGTTGTCTGGTGACTGAGATGTCCTAAATTTCAAGTAGATGAACCGGTGTTTATGAAAACATTCAGAGTTAAGCAGTAACATTGGGTGAGAACTGCAGAATCCAGCTACTAGAGAATGCTTGCAAAACATGCTTAATTTGCATCCTGGAAATGCTGTGACTCTGCACATTGGGTAATTACATACATAGATCACCATAATTACTCTTCGGCATATTTCTGCTGCCTGATGTGTGCAGGGAGTGCCAGTATTTGTAGTGTAAGCCCAGTGCCTTGTGGCACTTAAATGCCATGAAAATCTGATTTTTAGCAAAGTATGTGTGTCTGGCAAGAGCCGTTCAGAGGCAGCAGTCACATCTGGGTTAAATATTAGAGTTTCTTAATGGCTCAAATGCAAAACAGACTAGAAATGTGCAGAACCTGGTAACCCAGACTGTGTTCCTGTGAGGCTGGGATGTAGGACTGGTATGTAAAAGGGAATGGCTTGAGTGCTTTTTTACAGGTTGCTGTTGGAACATGTGCTTGATGGGTTGAGAGTTTAGTAGTCTCAGAGCTGACTGTGTCCAGACCCTGGGGATAGTGTGGAGAGGGACCAGCTGTGGGTATGTGCACCTCCAGAGCTACCCACAAAGAATGGGCAGCAAAGGGAGTGAGGAGGGACATCTCTGCTGCCCCAGCGCCCTTCCCTCGGGGGTGTCAGAGAGGGGTCATTAGATGGAGTGTGCTTGAATAGCAGCCACTGAACACTGGTGGCATCATCTGCTTGCTGCTGCCATTGTCACAGCTGGAAAGGACAGGTGGTCATCTGAGGAGACAAGCCCTGTGTGAGCCAGGGCGTCTTGTGCTTGCAGAAGGCTCTAGAGTAGACAAGGGGATCTCTTGCAGCAGTGTAATTTCCTTGGGGTCTCCCTGGCATGGGGAGCAATTTCTTTACTGTAGGTGGATATGCAGGTGCCCCTCACGTGTTTATTTTTGTGTCTGGTTGGATAGCCCTCTGGTTCCTGCCCTTTCAGTACTGGAAAGCTGGGCTGCTCTAGTCTGTACTCACTGGTCACTGGGCGTGCTGGCAGGCAGCTATGGATGGCACTTATCTAATACATTGTTCATGCTTAAATGATCTAAAGAAACATTTTCAATAGAATGTGAAGCCTGGCTTAGCTGCAGGATTGGAAAGTCTCCTAGGAGCGTGAGACCATATGTACATGGGTGTATATTTGTATGTAAAACAATAATCAGATTCATTCTACATGTCGGTTCCTTTTGCTCTCCCAGCTTTCTGACCGTGATCAGAAGGCCAGCGTGGATCCCTGGTGGCTAAATGCACAAGGAGCTCCCCCCATGAAGCCATGTGCGATGCTTAGCTCTCATTTCCCTTGTGTCCTCCCTCAGGTGCAGACCCGCAGCTCTGATGAGCCCATGACCACCTTCGTCGTGTGCAACGAGTGTGGGAATCGCTGGAAGGTAGCACACCAAGGATATTACTGGCACTGAGGGGTGTTAGGGTAGCTGCACCCACGATACTGCAGATGCTTACCTGCTGTCCTCAGAGGTGCTTGCCAAACACTGACTGGCTCAAGCAAGTGGTCTTTCCTCCCAGCAGAGAGGCAAGAGCTCCTGGGTTCATCCCATCTCTGCAAACCAGCTGGGGTCATATCTCGCTTTCTCATTCCCTGTCTCCCTCCTCACATCCCCCGTTCTGTCACGACCAACTTCACAGTGCTTTTCATGCTCCCTGTGCCCGCCCCCCAGAGATGGTGGTGATGCCAGCATGTAGGATTTAAAAACTGCTCTTTTATGCTGTGCACTCGGATGTGAGCAGAAATCTCCCTACCTGTTAATGGTGAGCGGAAATGGCACCACTAAAAAGAGCCAGTGCCACAGCTGAGAGATTCAAAGGGAAGCTCTGCTTGGCCCCTGCTCCAGGGGCTGAGCCCTGCCTCTGCAAAATCCCCAAGCCCTTGCCAGCTTGAGAAACAAGATCATCACCTGGATCCCTATCTTCATCTAGGCAACAAGCACATGACCTGCAACTCCCCTTGGCAGTGAGATTTTCTAATCAGGGTTTAAACTCCCTTCTCTTGCAGTTCTGCTGATATGTGCCATGGCCCAAGAGCGGCAGCCAAACGCAGATCAGAACGCAACCTCCATACTCCAGCTCCCACGGCAATTGTGTATTGTACCCCAAGTGAGTTTGCATTGTGTCATGCACTGAGAGAGCAGCTGCAGGGAGGCCTGCCTCCCTGCTTGGGCCTAAGTGGAGAACCACAGTTGTGGGTTGACAGTTTAGCAGGAGAGCTCACTAGACACACTTAGTCGTTATTTTCTCATCTAAGCGAGTATGGTAATTTTTTCTTCAAAACTAATATTAAACATTTTTGTCAGTTTCTGACTTTTATTTGAACTGTGTGCGTACAGCACTTTGCATTTGCGACGCAGAACTGCATGGGAGCTTGGGGGACAGTCATTGTCCAGACGGATGAGGACTGGATGGTGCTTGGACCACCGGAAAGCAAGAAGCTGCTTGTAGGTACACCTTCGGTGCAGGAAGGCTTGCTTTTAATCACTCGTGAACTTCAAAACACTGGGCCAAATCCTGGAGTGGCTGGGTGGGCAGTACTAGCTTTGCTTAGCTGGCTGGAGGAGAGCTGTTGGTGGAACACAGCTTTTGGGGCACAGATTAGATGATGCTCTCAAACTCAGTTGGATATCGGTAGCATTCAGTTGACTTTGCACCAGTATAATTTAGTCATTTGGGGCTGGATCCCTTGTGTGTGATACATACCTTGTGATCTCATGCCTTTAAATGCCAACAGCACACGCTGCTGCAAAGATGAGATCAAGGACATGCTATGCAGGATGTAACAGACAAGAAGCAGGGTGACACCAGCCACCAAAAATCAAAATGGTTGTTACTGTGGAGCAGGAAAGAGAGTGCTAGGCACAGACCCAGGTGAGGTGAGCATTTCCTAGAGCTCCCTCCCTCTTGTGGAAGGAGTCCCCTAGAGCTGAGGGCTCCCTTAGCACCTTGTTAGGGGCAGGGAAAGTCAGGGCTGTGCCCTCACAGGGAGGGCCCAGCAGCCTCTTGCTGTCCCTGCTGGCTGAGCTGCTCACCTTGCCAAAGGCTGCTCCTGATTGCCATCAGCCAGGGAACCGGGGAACGATTAATCTTGATTTAGCGAGAAACCATCCATAAAGCAGGTGGAGAGAATTCATTGGCCAGTGAGGGTGTTAAAAGGAAGTCCCAGACAGTTTCCTGTTGCTGTTTGCTCTGCTCCTAGCCAGGCTGCTGAGGGGCAGGCTGAGTTTTTCCTATGGGACTCGTTGAAGAAGCTTAGAGAGAGGTGGGGAAATGCTGTAAGTACAGAAAACTTTCTAGGGCTCCTGAGCTGGAAGAGACAGGAATTGCAGAGATCAGTAGGAGCTGCTGGCACTTAGCTCTGCAAATTGGATGAGGTTTGAAGTGAGCTCGTAACTAGTATCTGGAAGGGGAGAGATGAGGAAGAAGGGAGCTAGCAACGAAGCAATCCTCAGGTGCCAAGTCTCAAAATGTGACCTTGTGGGGTTTCTGCAGGATCAGACTGCAGGATCAGTGTGGGGGTAACTAGAACTTGCCAGGAAACTTTCCTCACAGCAGCTTTCGATCTGATACTTTAAAGATCTCTTCTGAGATCCCAAGCTTTTAACTGGGTGTGATGCACGGTATTCAAGGGACCCCAGTAAAGCCTGTGAGTTTGAGGCAGGTCTGGAGCAGTCCTCTGCGTTTCAGCTCTTGCTCACACATAATACAGGAGTATTTGCAGTTGCATCTTCTGTTGCATTGCTCCGCTGCTCCAGGGTGAAAAACAAGTATTTCCACTGGCTTTTCAGCATGCCATACAGCAGACATTCATCAGAGATCTTTGTGAAGTTTAGAGAGGAGTAAGCAGCCACATTAAAGCAACGGCAAGCATGTTCACAGCCCCTTTGAGGGCTGTGTTCCTCTTGAGGCAGTGATCCCAACGGGATCCTTTGCTCAGGGCTCTCGCTTTAAAGAGGTGCGGCCAACTCTCAAGAAGGGAAAGATTGAAAGATGCTGACAATGTGCTAAGTCTCATGAATCTGGCAGGATTATTCAAGCCAGCCTGTGGAGGGAATAGTGCCCTCACAGTAACGCTTTAAAAAAAGCTTGAGGATCTAAACCCAAAGCTGGCCAAGGCACTCTGGCTTGTGTGCTATGAACAGGAGCCAGCTAATTAACGAGCTGCTGTTGCCTTCCTTCTTGTATTACTGTAAGGGGGGAATTGAGCTTGGGTGCAATTAGCTGACAATCCTGAATTGCCTATGGAGCAGAGATTCATAAATGGAGAAGGAGCTTCTCAAAGGCTAGGGAAAAGTATCTTGCCTCCTGGCACTCTGTCGTGCTTCTGTCTTCTGGGATAATACCAACTACACGCTTATAGGAGTCAGTCAGGGGAAATGTATTGGATAAAAAGGTGTCTCAGAAATAAAGATTTAATTATAAGATATTTAGAAGTGCAAGGATTGTGAAAGCTGGATTATCTGGTGGTAGTGGGGCCCCAGCTGGGCCGAGACCTCTGTGGCCTGGGGAGAAGGTCTCACCAGCCTGCCACGCTGCTTAACCACTAACACCTCCACGCCCAGAGCTGGAGCCAGATTTTTAAAATGGTCTTGACATACTTCCTTTACTCGCAGAAAAAACCAAAACTCAGGATGGAAAACCTTCCCAGCACAGGATCCAGACACTGCTGGGCTTATGCTGTTAGCGCTCGCTGGGGGAAAGCTGCCTCCCCGCTGCAGGGTCACAGCTCTGCCTTGCACTTCGCACCCATCGGGGCTAGTTTGGCTGTGTCCCGTTAGTGGCTGGCACAGCCACATCACTCTTAAGCGGTGGGAAAGCCCTGGGCAGTAAAGCAGTTTCTTTGCTGCTTTGCTATCTGCTTAACAAGAAACGCTACCCTGGTTTTTAAACAGCTTCTCAGTGCTGGACTTGGGCTGCTTGCTATAGGAGCTTGTCCAAAGGGAGTCAGGCAGGCTGAGATCAACTTGCATTTTTGTAATAACCAAATAATAAAAATACCGACGTTCCTAAATAAATGAACTATCTCTGGTCTCTCTCAAAAATACATTTTTTTTGAATTGTATTTCCGCTTGGAGAACAAAACTAAATTTACTGACATGAATATCCACACAGTCACACCGCTAGGAAGGAAGGAAACAAAAAACAAAACCAAGAGGAGAATTTGTTTGTTTGTTTAAAAAAATCTTCAGTAAAAAGAAAGACGTTCCTAAATAAATGAACTATCTCTGGTCTCTCTCAAAAATACATTTTTTTTGAATTGTATTTCCGCTTGGAGAACAAAACTAAATTTACTGACATGAATATCCACACAGTCACACCGCTAGGAAGGAAGGAAACAAAAAACAAAACCAAGAGGAGAATTTGTTTGTTTGTTTAAAAAAATCTTCAGTAAAAAGAAACAGTGCTCCCTTTTTTTTTTTTTTTTCTTTCCTCTTTGAAAGGGATGGAGAGAGAAGAGGGGCAGAAAAGGAAAAGGGGAGATAAATATGAAACCACGGGGTGTTTTTGCTCAAACGGAGACGGTAAAGGCTCTCATGGCGGTCGTCCACCGGTGCACTCTCCTCCTGCTACAACAACTCCACGACCACCCACAAACCCCAGGGA